TACAGAGTTATACAACAAAGGTATGACTTTACATGACAGTAGCAGAACAGTTAAAAAGTTCAAAACAGATTGAACAAACAGGATAGGAGTTAACGCTTTCAATGACAGTATTTCCCTTTCTTTCGTATAATTTTTACCTGCCCCTAGATGGTGGAAATAACATGGTTTTGACACCCTGATACTCTGTGAGTAAGGCAGTGTTCTCTGCTCACTGTAGCAATCACCTCTCACAGAACCTGACAGTAGCTGCTAAGGGAGTATATTTCTTTGACTTAAGCAGTGTTTTAGAACCAAATTATCCAGGCTTTAAAATCCGTGTGTGATTTTTATCAAGCAGTTTCCCATCTGCAGCAAAGGTTTGTACTCCCACTACGGGCAGGGAGGATGCCTCTGGGGAACGCTCATATAATTAGCTAGATACAAATCATCACAGGGCCTGAAAGCTACAGAGGCTGGCATGAGAAAACCATCCATTATCTAATTGTCGATTTGCCAAGTACCAATAACGCCACGACATATGGCTTGGCGGGCTGTGGGTTTAGCAAGCGGGGAAGAGGCTGTTCCGGGCGGATCCGGGGCTGGTAGGACCCGACACCGCATCCTCCGTGAAGCAATCCCGCCAACGGAGCCCCGGAGCGCGCCCCGAGCGCCGCATCCCGGCCCGCTGAGGGGAAGGGCGGCGGGGAGGCTGATCGGGCAAGGGCCCTGCCACAGGCCTGGGCCGTGAGGCTGCACGTCCCGCGGCGAGACCCCCGCACCACGGCCTCCTGCCGCCCCGCAGCCCCTGGCCCGCCCCCCCCTCCGTTCCTCACCGCCGGCCCGGGGCGCGGCTGGGACCTGCGGGCCGGGAGCCCCGCCTCCCGTTGCCGGGCGACCGGCGCCTCGCCCGGCCGGGGACCGGCAGCCGTCCTACTCTCACCCGCGGTCGGCAGCGCGCTCCCATTGGCTGCCCCCGCGCTGCGCTCGGCTCCCATTGAGCGCCCACCGCCTCTGCCGCGTCCTCATTGGCGCGCCGCCCTCTGGCCACGCCACGTCACTTTCTCACACCATTCCCCCCGCCTGCTCCGCCGGCTGCGGGCCGGCCGGTGGGCGGGACCTGGGCAGTGGCGTCAGTGATTGGCGGAGGGAGCTGCCGCTCAGGGCTCGGGCTGGAGACCCGGCGGCGGGGCTGCTTAAAGGCGCCGCACGCCGGTGCCCCGTGTTTTCAGCCGTGCGTGCGAACCTGCAAGGGCGCGGAGTGGTGAGCGACAAGCGACAGCCATCGCCTTCCACAGGTGAGGGCGGCTCGGCCCCTGGAGGATCTTCGGCTGGGCGCCGGGTGGCGGCCCCGGCCTCTCCGCAGAGCCGCGTGGGGGAAGCACGCGTGGGGCGGCGGAACCGCCCGCGGGGCTTGGGGATGGGTCGGCATAGCTGGGAGCGGTGTCTTCGGAGGACACAAGCGTGTTCGAAGTAGTGTCTGCAGTGCGGCAGACGGGGGGGGGAGGGTGGGGGCAGAGAGGGAAAAGGAGAAAATATTTTAAAAGGGAGAAAAAAAAAAGGGGGGGAGGAAAGAGGGAAGAAAAATCAAAAAGAGCCATGTCTGAGTGTCTCTTAACGTAGGTGTTAACCCGCACGCCGCGCCGGATGCTGCCCGGAGCATCACGGAGCATCGCGCGTGGCGTGGCGCGGCGTGTCTTGAGACGCTCTCCGCCCGGGGCGGCCGGCCAGGCTGAATGCCTCCCGGAAGAGCCGGCATCCCCGCTGCCCGGGCCCGGGGTGCTGCCGCCTGCCGTGACCCCGGGGAAGCCCCCCCGGCTGGGGGGGCTGCGCCGGGCTCTGCCCCGGTCCCGCGGGCCACAAAGAAGCCCGAAAGCGGCCGCGCCCTCAGCGTGTCCCTTCATCGCCTCTCGCTGTCGCGACTGAGGCGCCCACCCAAGCCGTGGTGGGCGTCCCCCACCGCCCACGTCACCCGCAACCCCCCATGGCGGAGGGCAAAGGCAGGCGGGTGCTGTCCCCAGGGATGCCGTCGCCTTCATTCGTGATGGCGTTTGTCGCACGAGTGTGGGCATCCCGACACCCACTCGCGTCGCTAACGGAGTCCAAGTCCGGGATGTGCCCGGGGATGCGCCCGGCGTGAGGGTGACTGGCATCTCACGCGGGGGAGGCACCGCGAGTGGGTCCTTGCGGCTTAATTCAAGGCACCGTCCCAGCGGTTTGGCGTTTTTACGCAGTTTGCCTGTCTCCCACGCAGTCCCACCCGGCCGGCCGGGAGGTGTGCGGGACGCGGGGATGCCACGTTCGCGCACGGCCCCTGCCGTGGCGAGTCGCCGCGGTCCGGGTGGAGGCAGTGACCTCTCGTGGCGTGACGGGTGTCTCGCATGCACGCGGTACCTGTAAACCTTTCAGCTCTGCGGGGATAACTAGATGATGTCATAGCCGAAGCTGCCAGATCATCACTGTTTAACTGCAGAAAAACAGCCTGAAGTGGCTCTGCTGTCACTAGCAAAGTCCGCTCTCTGCGTCCTCCAGAGGTAAAATGCCGCAGGGAGTTACCAAATAAATGCCTTGTTGTAGCGAACAGGCTGGGGGCTCGTTTTCTGACTTTTGCTCAAGTGTTCTTTGTGAACTAAAAACTTAAGCACGAAATAATAAAGTCAAATTACTGACAGAATATTCTCAAATTCTTAACAAAGACAGTGAAAGCCGCCAGTTGTTGTGGGAGAATGTATTTCTGGCAACACTAGCAGAAGGTAGTGGTTGTTTTATGCTGCTCCTTCATTCCCCGCAGAATCCTAAGGGGACAGAAAACAAAGCAGGTTTCCCGTTTCTTTACAGTAAAGCATTTGGGGTTCCCGGTCTTTTAAAAGAAATTATGCTTCTGAGAAAGCTTTCATTTTCAGTAAAAACTCAATGACGAGATGTTTGCTGTTTGACCAGGAGGACAAAAGGCTGTTTGTTTTGCACCAAGTGAACAAATTTTTTCCTTTAATGACTGAGTTGTCATATGCCCCATTTCCTTCAGTGATCAGAGCAAACTTATAAAGCAGTGTTTTTCATTGTGGTACAGCCCAACAGCCCGGCCTGCCACTATCTTGGGTGTATTTGATGAGCCATGAGAATACAATAAAAGAGTGTCCCTTTAGCTGTCTTCAGGACAAGTTCTCATGAGAAAACTTTCTGCAGGTTTTAGCTGGGATAGAGTTAGTTTTTCTTCTTAGTAGATAGGATAGTGCTGTGCTTTGGGTTCAGTATGGGGTGTGATATGAGAAGAATACTGGTAACACACTGACGTTTTCAATTGTCGCTGATTTTTCAAGGGCTCCCCATGTCCTGCCCGTGCGCAGGTGCACAAGAAGCAGGGGGGGAGCTTGGTCAGAGCACCGGACCCAACTGGCCAATGAAATATTTCATATGATGTAACATCATGCTCAGTATATAAAGAAAGGGTGGCCAGGAAGGAGGGGAGTTCTCTCTCGCTTCTGGGATTGTGATTGTGGGATCTTTGTATTTCAGGATCACTAGCCAGGAACGGGCTGGGTGTCAGTCAGTGGGTGGTGAGCAATCACAATGTGCATTGCCCCTTTATACTTTCTGTTATTGGTTTATTTTAAACCATGACAGAACTGCAGTGAATAATACGAATTAAATGCCAGATTTTGAACTCTTAAATTCTGTAAGGAGCAAGCACAGAGCAGAGTGTTTTCCCAAACTCTCACCAGTAATGAAAGTCCTTTCGGCATACTGAATTTTCTAGTAAGTCAGAGCCTGGTTAAAAGCCACTTGTTCTTTGGCTGTTACAGGTCAGGTCCATTATGTGCTTCATGTATTGCCTTTTAGAATATAACTTAAATAATATTAAGCAACTAAGTCTCTGCAATCTCTTTCATCGGTCTGGCTCTTGGAGCAGAACCAAGGTCTGCTCTGGGTTACACGGATTGCCCTCAGGGTGGCTGCCAGACACTCTGCTGAGCTGGCAACAGTCTGTATTTCCTTTTTGTCCCCTTTTGAAGAAAATGCAGTGTTTTGGTCAGAAAGCAAGCTGGATCCCAAAGTCCTCTGCCCAGCTGGTACCTTGGGATCTTGCTGTCAGTGGCACATCTGCATTTCATATGGGGGGGGCCAGAAAGTGTCCTCCCTCTCCCCTGCCAGTGTCTGTGTGGATTTGGGATAAAACACAGCTCTTGGAGTAAGTTTTGGACTCCAGCGCTGGTCTGTGTCCCCAGGAGATGTATGTGGCTTGCTTGTTGTGCTGCTGACAGGGGATATGAGCTTCCTCACGCAGCTCCTGGGGAGTCTCTGGACCACCATGCACCCTTCTCCGGCCATGGCTTTAGGAAAGCCATGATGGCCACCCTCTTTCTTACAGCATAAACCAGCTGCTATGCCACGGCAAATCCTTAATAGTGCCTGCTGGCTTCCTGGAGGCAGAAACGATGTTTTCATTGCTTTTTTTTGCCATCCAGCTAGTTTAAAACCAGAGATGGTGCTGCTCACTGTGGTGTAGCCATCCAAAACACAAAAAAAAAAAAAAAAAAAGTGCAGCTTAACAGTAACAGTATTTGAGAAATTTTAAAAGCAAAAGGGAAATAGAAGGGAGGTGCAACCAGGATGGGGTAGCCTGTGGCCAGGGATTGTTAAAAAAAAAAGAAAAAAACAAACCACAAAAATACAACAAAAACACCAAAACCAAACAACAACAACAAAAAAACCCAAGTAAAACAAAAAAGAAACAAACAAAACTAACAACAACAACCATAAAAAAAAAGTAAAGCCAAGAAGAAACAAGCGAAACACAAGAAAGGTAAAACCAAAAAGAAACAAACAAAACTAACAACACCAACAAAAAAAAAAAAAACCCAAAAAACAAAAACCAAACAGTAAAACCAAAAAGAAAGACACAAAACCAAAAACGACAACAAAAAAGAAAAACAAACCACAACAAAAAACCCCCACAAAACCCATCCAGACATTTTGGGTGCTGCTGGGGTTTAAGTTCCTCACTGCTGCTTTTTCGCCTGCAGGGTGCTGCTGGGTTTCACCCCGGGGTGTCGCCGCCCCCCGGAGGGGGGGGAAGGGGCCGCGCTGCGCTCCCGCTGCGCCGCCGCCTCCGGGCCCCGCCGCGCATCGCGGCGGGCTGCCCGCGCCTGCGCACTGCTCCAGCGGGACGTCGCACATCGCGCATGCGCGGCCCGCCGCGCCGGTAGCCGGCCATGGGATTCCGTAACGTGTGAGGGCCGGGGCCGTGGGGGGGGGGGAGGGGGGGCGGACTGTGCTCCGCGCTGCGGCGGCCCCACGCTGAGGGGGGAGGGGGGTGGGGGGTGGGGGTGTAGAACGACGACGACGACAAACGCGGCGTGACGCTTCCACGCCACCCCGGTGGCTCCTCGCCGTGTCCTCGGCCGGGTCACGGGTAACCTTGAGACATTGGCGGGGGGGGGAGGGGGCGCTCGGTGCCCTCAGCGCCCGCGGCTCGGTCTGGGCGGCGGGTGCCTGAGGCGTGGCGTGGCGTGGGGGCAATTAAGGGAGAAGAGGTCCTCGTCGGCTGCGGGGTGTTGGCGAGCGGACACGAGAGTCGGAGCTGGTCTGGCAGCGGGGCGCGCAAACAGCGCGAAATCGGTGGTTTGGCGCAAAACCGTGGCAGTGCGCGGTGTGGCTGTTCCGCAGGGGCTTTAAATACCCTTTTCCCGTTCACAGGTTTTGATATGAACAAAGGAGACAAGAGACGTTATTTAAAATTAAATAGGCTATTTTAGGTGCATCATAGGTGTAGCTGGATCTTTGTCAGAGGCAATCAAAATGAATGGCAAGACATGCGCTCTTTCTTTAGGTCTTACATAAGACTGTTCCTGTAACGGAAAACACCTTTAAGGTTTTTCTAACCCTTGTGTTAATATGCATCCTGTAAAATCGTCATTCCCACAGAGAAAGGCTTTATTTCTTTGTTCAGCTCATCGTGGTTTTATGGAAGAAGTTGGGAAATGTCAATGCGATGGTACTCGCAGCTGGGCACAGAAGGGACAAGTGCTCTGTAAGGATGTAAGCAGAAATACAGGAAGATGTTGCCTGTCTGGGTAGTAGAGATAGGGTGGAAGTAATAGGATATAGTATATCCTCAAGTGTAGTGACAGTAAAGTTATGAGGTTAAAATGAGAAAACTTGGTCTATTGGGGAGAATCCCTGTGTGTTCATCTCAGCCTGTGAATTATTCCTCCAGGCCTGGTGTTAGGAGTTCCAATGTTCCAGAATGCCAAAACAGAGTATGCTTAAAACAAACAAAAAAGTGAACCAAAAGTACCAAAAAAACCCACAAACCAAACCCACCCACCAACCATCTTTCTGCTTCTTTGTTGCAAGTATAAACAAAATGAAACAACTTGGGTCACTTTGTTTAAAAATAAAAACAATTTTGAAGAGTCCTGGCCTGTTTTAAGGCAGAGATTTCCTGGTAAATACACATTTTAAACTTTAGTTCTCAACTAGCAACATTAAAAAAAAAAATAAATCAAATCTTTTTAGCTTGGTTGTGTAAAGCTGAGACTTTGCATATAAGCAAAAGTAGAATAATAAACATTAAGACTAATTTCTCAAACACTTAACACTTACTAAGCATGTTCTTTGCTTCAGTGAAGTAACTTGGGCTTAATTTACATCTATTCATCTCCAGGGCTAAAATTTGTAACTTCATTTAAAAGTACTTCATCTAAAATGTTACAAAACTCCCAAGGACATTTAGAGTATGCTGAGACCAAAGTCTCCCCTGAGGCTAGGGCTTGCCTTCTGCAAATGACCTTGTAGAATACCTGCAGCGTAGCTTTTCCTGTAAACCTACAGAAAATGAAAGTAGGTCTCTCAAAATAGATATGAATAAATCCATTGGTTTTGTGGTTTTCTTTTTTTCTTAAAGATCTACCACGATGCCTGGCTCTCTTCCAGTGAATGCTGAATCGTGTTGGCCCAAAGATGTGGGGATTGTTGCACTGGAAATATATTTTCCCTCTCAGTATGTTGACCAGACGGAGCTGGAGAAGTATGATGGCGTGGATGCTGGGAAATATACCATTGGGCTAGGCCAGTCAAAGATGGGGTTCTGCTCTGACCGGGAGGATATCAATTCTCTCTGCTTGACTGTGGTTCAGAAGCTCATGGAGAGGAACAGCCTTTCCTATGATTGTATCGGGAGATTAGAAGTTGGAACGGAGACGATAATTGATAAATCAAAATCTGTAAAGACTGTCCTGATGCAGCTTTTTGAAGAATCTGGTAATACAGATGTAGAAGGAATCGATACCACCAATGCATGCTATGGAGGCACTGCTGCTCTTTTTAATGCTATTAACTGGATTGAGTCCAGTTCTTGGGATGGTAAGTTTGGGGAATTTTCTTTAAAAGTTACATCATCCTCTGGTTTTAAGTAGTCTGCCTTATAATGACAGTGTTCATGTTTAACTATATAAAACCTGGAGTGTAAGCTGTTTTTCTCTTCTGAAGTCTTTTTCTTGAATGTTCTGGACATTTGCAGCTATCTCAGTTACAGTGCAAAAAATAATGATATGGCTAACCATCACTGGTCTTTTCGTGTAAATTTCAGTGGCTGTCAGGAAATTGAAATGTGGGGTAAAAGTCAGGATCGAAGAGTCCCTTAACCTTGGAGTCATCTCTTCTATAACCAAAGTCTAAAAATTGCAGATGGATATTAAAATGTGTTAGATTCTTTGCTATTTCTCATCATTATACCTGTGTGTTTTTCACAGGACGCTATGCACTTGTTGTTGCTGGAGACATCGCTGTGTATGCTACTGGAAATGCCAGGCCAACTGGTGGAGCTGGTGCTGTTGCTATGCTAGTTGGTCCAAATGCTCCATTAATTTTTGAGAGAGGTTAGTCCTGTGTGAAAACAAATACCATTCATCTAGATAATGATCGATTCTGAAGCCCATCCCCTGTTTTTTGTGCATTGCTGGAGGGCTGGATTAACTCCCACTAATGTCAGAAATTGTACTTTGTCTCCTCTTGCTCTGGGCTGACTTGGCCAAGTCCTGTTATAGGAGGCAGCGAGGAACAAGTAGAGGTGCTCATATCTATGTATTTTTTTGGGGATTCTCAGATAAAATTGACAGGGTGGACTAGAGTTGAATAACACAGCACTCTACTTCCAAAGTGAAATGATGAAAACAATTTGTTACTTCTGTTTGTAGTTCTCAGTCCTACTGTGCTTAGCAAGTACTTGACAACTGTGTGAAACATTACCTCAAAGGGCCTGAAGTGCTAAGAAAACCTGTTTGACTGTGGCCAAATATTGATTGTTTCCCCTCATGTGTTAAGTGATGCATTCAGATTGACTCAAAGCAGCTGAATAAAGTAATTTTCAACTTCTGTCAATTTCTGTCCATCAGGGTTGCGTGGAACCCACATGCAGCATGCATATGACTTCTATAAACCAGATATGGTCTCTGAATATCCTGTAGTTGATGGCAAACTATCTATACAGTGCTACCTCAGTGCATTAGATCGCTGCTATACTGTCTATCGCAACAAAATCCATGCCCAGTGGCAAAAGGGTATGTAGCCTCACCTGATGATATACTAAGATCTGGCAAATGCTGGAATGTGTAACTACACAGACAATGCATTTTATGGGTCCCTTTCTTTGTGTTTGTGTGTTCTAAGGTGATTGAAATGTTTGCTCTCCCCCACTATTAATGTCTTATTTCTGTTCTGGTAAGGTTAAATACCTGATAGTGAGTAAACAGTGGTCTCCACACACTTTTTATTTGTGTTACATATAATGCCTTGCTTAAAAGAATGTTATTCCACCCAGCTCCTTAGGTTAATATTTAAATGTTATGTAACAATACTGATTTTTTTACCCCATCTCTTCAGTAATCGCTTTACTCAATAAACATAGGTGTGAAGTTTAGATAGTTAAGTAGGTGGTACATTACGACAAAATGCTGTGTAGAAATACAGAGATTCTGTTAAGCTTATAGCTTTTTCTTCTAGAAGGAAGGCAAACGTTAGTTGGTGCAAAAGATCAGCAGGAAACTGATTTTTACATAGAAGTAGCAGCGGTGTTTTAAGTGAACTTGACAGCAATAGTTAAGTCTTGTGGTTATCTCTTGTATACAGATGTGTTATGATGACAGGTATCCTGCCACCCCTCCATTTTATTTTCATAGTTGAGATGAGTACTAAACATAAGTTGTAACACAACTTTTCTGCCACTTCCAGAGGGGACTGACAGGCGTTTCACCTTGAATGACTTTGGATTCATGATCTTTCACTCTCCTTACTGTAAACTGGTACAGAAATCTGTGGCTAGACTCCTGCTGAATGACTTCCTCAGTGACCAGAACCCAGAAACAGCAAATGGTGTTTTCAGTGGTCTGGAAGCTTTCAGGTGAGAATGGCTGCTGTCTTCCTTATCCACATAATCTTAATTTGTTACACATCCAAGGTGTGTTTTTACTTTCTGCTATTTTAGTAACTGTTTCCGAACACTTTTTTTTTTAATAGAGATGTGAAGCTTGAAGATACATATTTTGACAGAGATGTGGAGAAAGCTTTTATGAAAGCTAGTGCAGAGCTCTTCAACCAGAAAACCAAAGCTTCATTACTTGTATCCAATCAGAATGGAAATATGTATACCCCGTCAGTCTACGGTTGCCTTGCCTCTCTTCTTGCCCAGTAAGCATAAAACTGGAAAAAAGTCATAGCTTTTTATATGTAGTGCCGTAAAAGGTTTTTGTTTCAGAAAGCCTTTTGTAAAAGCACCATGTAGCAAACCTTTTCCTACTACATTAACTTAAGCAGAAAGACTAAAGTTAAAAAATTACTCTGTACACACAATCCAAGTGACAAGCAGATTCAAAATTTCTGTGTCAGAAACTGATCTGAACAGCTGTTTACTGCCTTCTAAAGTAGGATCTTATTTGTAAGGTGGTGTCTTTTCCAAGCCTCAACATTGTTCCCCACCTGCCATCCACCTGCCTCCCATCCCTCCTGAACCCCACCAAAAAAAAAAAAAAAAAAAGGGAAAAAAACCCAACAGAACAAACCACCAAAAACCACCAAAACCCACAATACAATGAAGTGGACAAAAGAATCAGAATGTCTTCTCTGTTTCACTATAATAAGCAAAGCCAAATTAAGTTAGTATTTACGTAACTTTTTTTTTTTTTTTTTTGCAATTACAGACTTTTACAAAATCATGTTAAGTTTACATACTTTTCCTCTTGGATCCTTTTTTCTTTATTCTGACTTTTCCTTCCAAGATGATGTGGTTCATTTTAGGCTTTTGGTCACTTAATGAAAACTGGCTGCCGTCTAGATAATCATATTCTGGGCATTTCTTTGCTCTGTTTTGCTTAGGCAGCTTTGGAACTCATCATGTAACAGCAGTGTTTGTGTTTTAAAAAGTCATCATGTATGCACACAGTATGCTAACTGTGTATTGTAGTGAATTTGCTGGCTGCTTTTTCTAAGCTAGCTGCACTTTCTAGTTATTTAAAATTGGCCTCTTGACTTAATTCTCACTTTAAATAACTGTTGCTCGATTTGCAGGTACGCCCCAGAGCAGCTTGCAGGACAGAGAATTGGTGTGTTCTCTTATGGCTCTGGTTTTGCTGCTACGCTGTATTCCATCAGAGTTACTCAGGATGCCACTCCTGGTAAGTGAAAGAAAGATAGGTTTAACTCCCTTGCACAGCTCACCTCTAAATGCCTTGTTACATACCCACCAACATAAGTAAACCTGCAGAGCAATACCTAATAACAGTAATGCTAAACTGAAGATGTTCCAGCTCCAGGGAATATTTAGGTGTCTCCTTGGGCAAATAAATATTTGTCAAACTCTGTTAACATTTTCATTGAGTAATTTGGAATATTTTTAAAAGAATAAAAGTTTAGCTTCTCTAATACAAAATATTTTGAATGGGCTTGAAATGCTAACATACTAGCATGCAGTTCTCAGTACTGGTGTTACCTTATGTGATGACTTAATATTGTAGGTTCTGCACTGGACAAAATAACTGCCAGCCTTTCTGATCTCAAAACAAGACTTGACTCAAGAAAATGTATTGCACCTGATGTCTTTGCTGAAAACATGAAGATTAGACAGGATACGCATCATTTGGGTAAGAACTTAATAAATGTAAATCTTTCCTAGTCTTACAGAAAAATGTTCATCACATAATTTACCTGACTTTGAATTGTTAAGGTACAGAATTAAAATGTCCAACCCTTTCTACTTCTGAATAGCTCATGTGCGGCTGAAATGAAAATGCAGACTTCTTTTTTCTGCCTTACTACATCTGAACTGCAGAGGTCTGTGTTGTGTAAAAATCTGACCAGGAACCAACTAACAGTGTGTTACTGGCTTTTTCTTCCAGCCAATTATATCCCACAGTGTTCAGTAGAAGATCTCTTTGGGGGAACGTGGTACCTTGTGCGTGTGGATGAAAAACACAGGAGAACTTATGCGCGGCGTCCACTCATGGGTGATGGACCTCTGGAGGCAGGAGTTGAAGTTGTCCACCCAGGCGTTGTCCATGAGGTGAACACTCAGCGCTCTTTTAAATTTTGATACAAATGGTGGAACGGTTTATGTGTTCGTGTTAGCATGTGCATGTATTTTAAAAGAGGAAGTGGTTTAACAAGTTATATTAAATACTTTGTTAACATGTAACATACAAGCCAGAAGTAAAAAATTGAAGATGGGACTTTAAAAAGTATGTTTCATCATAACAAGAATGAAACTGCACAAGAATGAAACAAGAACAAACTGGCTCTTTTCACATAATCAGTTTGCATGAAGCATGACCAATTTGACTGACTTAAGACCAAGCCATCCAGTGTAGCATGAATGTTGTTTAAGAGTTGGACTAGCCGTGAAGTATGAATGTCTGTGAACTAGAAAACTGTATTTAATGATTTTTTTTCCCTTCTTCTTAGCACATCCCAAGCCCTGCTAAGAAAGTGCCAAGAATCCCTGCAACAACAGAATCTGAAGGCGTTACTGTTGCCATTTCCAATGGGGAGCATTAAGATACCTCTGTGAGGTGGGGAATGACACAAGGTGTGAGGGCAGGGTGAGAGAGAAAGGATTGCAGTAGCACTGAAGTCTCAGTGTACAGTAGTACTTCACTGGAGGATGGAAAAACTGTTTAAGCCCCTTGAAAAGATTCGTCATAATATGTTGTGCTGATAGTTATAGTATTTTCAGAACACTAAGATCATGAATATACTGGAGATGGAGGGACTTGCTAGGGGCTGTATGGATTCCTTAACATGTCTGAATTTTTTTTAATTGCTGAGTAGTAGATGTAGTCTATTACAAGGTCTTTGTACATAAGAAAAAAAGATCTTCTGCTTGCTCTTTCCATGTAAAATGACTTGAAACCTACACTGTTAACTTCTACTTTTACTCAAGTGTGTGGCAAAATAGTCTAGGCTTTTAATGTTAGGGTTTGCAGTGCCTTGGCAGTAAGCAGTCAGTCTTCTGAATACTGAACTTCTCTTTCCCTTTATCACCTTCTCTTTCTTCTCCCAGTCTACCTCCCCTCACCCCACTGCTTTGGGAAAGGTAAAGAACCAAGTAACATTCATGATGGAATAGAATCTCTCTCCTCTGTCAAAATGACTGAATCAAGAAGAGGTAGACTGACAGGTGTCTTTCTTCCAAGAAACTCTGTGACCCACTGTGTTCGTTATACGTAATTCCTCTTAACATCTATATTATGTGTTTTATACCCATTATAAATCATAACAGCCTGGGAAGAAAGAGGAAAAATAAGGGAGGTGGTGATTTTTTTTTAAAAGAAATGGGTTCATAGATTTGGCACCTTTCAGCATTATTTAGTAGAAGTATCTAAGGCAGCAGAACTTTCAAATAAAACTTCTAGATATTATGAAGCTGTTTTAATTGTCAAAATAAGGGAGGGAGGAATATTACTCTGTCTGGAGCTCCGATCTCTTGCTATTCTTTATATAATACGTTTCTGAAAGAATATTTCTAACTTTTAATTTGGCTTTGTATTTTTAAATTCTTGTCATTGTTGGTAATATTGTAGGAGTGAGGTCTTCTACTTCTCTGTTTTTTGTTTCCAAACTTGCAAGCTAAAAGCTGTCAATTCTGCAAGTGGTAGATATACAGTGCTAATGGGGAGTCCATTCTGGTAGATTTTTTAAAGCCCAGATTGGAAATGAACTATGACATGAGCCTTGTAAGCTTGTAATATATACTTAAATTGAGCTAATGTACAGAATGAAATTTTGTTGGATTTATTTCTTTGCTAATTCTACAAAGCTACATTATGAAATATAAGGTAGCAAAAAATGATCTGTCTGTTAAATTACAATTTTTGTTTGTGTGTAATGAAGTGTTTGTATTATCTGTCACTAGGATTTGATAACTTGCTGTATTTGTACGGTCAAGCCTTCGTAAAATAGTTGTTTATTATAAATCAATGAATACTAATCTGTTTGTTCTGCTGAAAATGATGGAGCAATGATGCATGATGATAGTATTTGCAAGTATTTTGGTTTAGGTTGCCCTTGTGAAACTTAATCTTGGCACCAGAAAAGCAAATTGCCATGGAACAAAGTCCATTGCTGGCAATGGACAAGCCAAGTAGTGAGCTACTGGCACAAAGTTAACCACAGGGACTTCATGGTCTGTGTGGCTGATACTTAATTAAAATAAAGTTTGAGATATTTGAAACCTGTTGAAGTAGAGCTGACTCGTTGGGCTTTCAGGAAGAAGGAGGAAGCTGGCCCTGTGAAAACCCAAAGTTGTGGGTTCTCAATCTGTGTGGACCTTCTGGATTTTCCTAATACAATTCCATTATAAAAGTGGAAAGAAAGGGTTGCTTAGGCTGGTGCAAACCCATTTTCAGGGCTGTGTTTCAAGACAATGTACGTGCTTTCTGATAGAAGCTGTTTATACTGGAGGAATTAATTCCCAGGTTATGAAACGCAGTTCATTTTTATTACTGTCTTATGAAAGACAGTATTGTTTTATCCCCCTCAGAAACTGTGAAGGGGGATTGGTTTTTGCTCTGTGCTTACGTGAGCCTCACTGAATCCAGTTTCTCATGGGTGGCTTCTCAGAGTCATTCTGTTGCTCATTTACATTACTAACTCATTTTAAAATCAACTGATCATCTCATCAGTCCCCATAATAGATAAGGCATCCTGCCCTTAAATTTGAAAGCTGTACTTCTCTAAACCTTGTATTCGTTTACTTGCCTTAACTAAAATCATATAGGCTTTACCTCTTAGCTTAGGCATGTCAGCTATGCCTGTTCAGAGAAGGACAGCTACTGAACTTTTCCACCATCTGCATTGGATCTGATGGTGTTGAAGGTTAAAGATAAGCAATTAAAGCTGAAAATCAGAGTATCTACATTTTGGTGATGCTCTGACCAATTGGAGTTGTCAGTCTATCCAACTTTTAACTTGCAGTGTTTGTGTCAAAATTGGCTTTGTGCCAGCCTATGTTGCCAAAGTAGCATGGCAGGAGTTAGTACAAGCCTGTAATGCTCAAAATATAAGCAGATTTTGTTGCATTCAGCTTACTGATACCTACTGCTAAAGCAAGAATTTAAAACTACATGGGTTTTAGAGTACATTTAAATCTTTTTTTATTGGAGTGCAACTGAAGTCAAAGCAGGTCTAGACTGTCAGACTTGTGCAAGTAATGGAAGGCATCAGGTCAGTAGATGATAGCCCAACCAGTTACACATGAGGAATTGCAACTACCCATGCAGGGTTTAAGTACTATATCCTAATTTGCCTTTCTGAATTGCGACAAATTGAGAACTGTGGTCTACAACAGCACTGCTGTTTCTTTAAATAAAATTTTTTAAAAAGAAGCTCTGATATACATTTTATCATGTTTAATTTGCTGAAGAAGTTGTAGAGAAGAATTTGCAGTTGTTTAGATCACGGTGTAGTTTCTGCTTAAATTTAGTTCTTTGCAAAAACTGTCCTGGTTTGCAGTGGTAAAGCTGTGTCAAGCAGAGGTGCAACTTTTCAAGTTAGCTGTTACATGCCTGTACTCAGAATCTCCCAAGTGTGTTAAATGCAATACTATTTGATCTTTACTAAAAGATCACCTCTGCTAGTGACCTGTTTCGCTTACTGGGGTTCTCGCACTGGGTAGAGCAAGGGACAAACAAATACATGAGAGATGTGTATTTGAATGCTTCACTGTGACTTTGGAAATGTAAAGATGAGGCATTTTTGGTTTATTCAAAAACTGCAAAAAAATGTAACATCAGAACTTGTAAAAAGTGAATAAAACCCTTTGTTAAATGTGCTGAGTATAAAGCCTGCAGTGCAGTTTATAAAATGGAACACAGCTTGGATGTGTGCTTCATCCTGCTGTAAGAATGGATTCCTCTTCTCAGGTTGTCTTTGTGGTCTAGATAGGACATGATAGGAACATATTCAAGTGCCCTTTTCTTCTGTATTTTGTGCAAAACAATTCTGTAGACCCCTGTTATTGAGCTGCGCGCATCTCTTCCCTGGTTATTTTGAATGTGCTCTTCTGTGATTCCCAGATTTTCCAGAATATTTTTCACTTCAATTTCTTCCTCTTTGAGTGTAGTGATGTCTGATAAATACCTTGGATCCAGTTTAAATGGCTGTAAAGGTTTGGGATACTGTATTCCTTGCATCCATTCACTATTCATAATAAGTTTGACAGAGTATCGTTCAGTTGGTACTGGCTGAAGGACTCCTTTTATCAGTTTCTGGCAAGTTTCCGAGAGGCAGGGAGGCAAACTGTATGTTCCTTCAAGAATGCACTTTTTCAATTTGGCCACTGTATCTGCTCGAAATGGCATGATACCCGTTGTCATAAAGTATAACAGGATTCCCAGTGCCCAGATGTCTACATAAATGCCAACATAGCTTTCATCTCGGAAGAGTTCAGGGGCAGCATAAGGAGGAGAGCCACAGAAGGTATTTAAAGTTTCATCTCTTCTGCTTATTGTGCTGAATCCAAAGTCTCCCACCTTAACACAAGTGTTACTGGTGTAGAAGACATTTTCTGCTTTCAAGTCCCGATGAATGATATTATTATCATGCTGTAGAACAAGAAGAAAAATTAGTATTAGCTTATTCACAGGAAAGTTTTCCAGTGACTAGCTCTTATTGATTAATTGCCACACAGGAGAAAAGGAGTTATCTTGGACTAAGTCAGAAATAAGTATTGCAATGAAATTGAAAAGTTAAATTATTCAAATAAATTTAACTTAATTATCTATTGATACAAAAACAATACGGTAGGTAGAAAAGATGGGAAAAAAGATGCTGCGGGGTTTTTTAAGAGTAGCAGTCTCAACTTGTTAACCATTACCAACTATTTTCATGAAGCAGATCTGTGATGGCATCATGGCTACTCCTACAAGACTAGGTATCTTCATGTGCAAAATCTGTGTTTTTTCAGGGTTTAGAACACTTGCTTTTGCAGTTACTATATTTCTGTAATGATGCAAGTAACAAAAATATTTCTTTTTAATTAATTTCATTTTTGTATATATTGTAAGTGTGTGGACTTAAGAAGTGAAAGTGTTTAGTTCACCAAGTGAACATAATCACAGATAAATTAAGAAAGTTGCTACAGTTCTGTTTTGTGATCTAATGTCCTATGAGGAACTGGTGGTGGCAGCAGAAAAGGACCACAGACTTGTGTCCTGTGGTGCTTCACATTATTGTAGGACACCAAGTTCAGTGGCGTCTTCTAGTTTTAGAAGTCTAAAATAAATACATATGCTGTAACTTGTACTTTTTTTCACTTAGAAATGGCAGTAGTAGCCAAGGTCTAAAACTGAATTTGCTCTGCTTAGTGGTAATATACCTGTCTTGATTAGGTAAAAGTTTAGCTTCATCTTTGAAATAACTAGGAGGCACGGATGTGTTTGAGCTCTCTGCCCTACTGTTTGAAGTAACAAGGTGCAGTATCTGGAGGCAATAAGGAAACCTTTTGGCATCCTAATATTTTTAAACTGTCATCGGTAACAGTCAGGGATCTTATGTCCTCCTTGTGGACAGGCAGCAGTGAATTGGGATTTAAGCAGCCTGGATTTGATGGCAAAAGTAAAATGTTTTGCAAACGTCTGTGTGTGTACTTGGTAGTCTGGGCTTAATGCTAAGAAATAGATGCAATCTTGAAATGTAAATTCCAGTAGCTGCAGAGTACCTGTGCTATGGAAAAAGTGTTGAAGCTAATCCATCAGTTACAGGACATATGATCATTTTGTCAAAATATATAAAAAATGCATACTGTTTATATATGCCACAAGCAGTTGTAATGCAGTTCCCAAAACACAGCACCCTTGCTTTTTGGCTTCGCCTGAGGCTATTATGTGGCAGGAGAATATGAACCACCCGAGGGCACTGTAGGCCAATTTTAACAGGTACTCCTTTTACTTCTCTGGCTTGCAGAACAGTCTTTTCATGGTTTTATGCTGTTGTTTGAAGTAGCTGTAGTAACCATGCAAGGTTCATAGGAGATGGAACTGAAATAAATTGCTCCTTTTCTGCCTTCACAAGATGCTTTGGACTCTACACAGATAGCATAGTCCTAAATCCAGATACTGAAGACTAGGCAAGGGGAAGTGACTTGCTGGGTGTTAACTTCACAGATTTGCACCGAAGCAAGGACTAGGAATTAACTGTCTTAAGTGCCAGTCCTCACATTCATTAATAAGCAAGCTGGATGTTTGCAACACCTAAAAAGTCTCTGGAACACTTTCTTCTAGTGGAAGAGTGACTGACCCTGTTTTGAAATAGCTGGAGGGAAGAAATTAAGCTTTGTTAGCTGGTGCCTACAGCAGCTTAAGGCAGACAGGAGAACGCTGTTGAAGGGATGGTTCTACCCACCAGGTGTTCCCAGCTCAGTCTCCTCCCAAAAGCTGCCAACACAGAGGCAGTAACTCGAGGTGGATGTGAAAGCTCTCTCAGATACCTTTAAGACAGCTCTTCTCTAGCTGTTTAGCTCTTCAGAAATGTGGGCCTGAAATCGTAGTAACAGTAAACCTACTAGTTGAAAACCAAAAGATACATCCACAAAACCTTCCAGAGTAGTGAGGGGCAACATGCCTATAGAAGAAGAGCAACTTACCATGTGCTTCACAGCAGACACAATCTGGGAGAAGATTATTTTACACTCTGTTTCTAGCATCTTTCCTTCTGTACTGATTTTAGTGAAGAGCTCCCCACCTCCTGCATACTCCATCACCAAGTGCAGCTTTGAGAGTGTTTCCACCACTTCATATAGTCTGATGATATTTGGGTGGTGCAGTTTTTCCATGCTGGATATCTCACAAGATAGCAAACGTTGAGTCCTCCGGTCTAGCTTTGTCTTGTCCAAAATCTTAATTGCAACTTTCTCTGAAAAGAGAAATGCTTTTCCATGTTGTTAATGCAATAGGTACAAATGGTAATGCTACTTCCTTGTAACAATGCCTGGTTATAGAAGGGCAATAAAATTGCACCTCTGATCAATATAAGCTAAGATGCAGAGGCCTACTAAGTCCTGCAATCTTTCACACACACCCAAGCCCCTTCCCAGCTACAACATCCTGCTCACTGCTGAGGTAGCTAAAGGCTGTTAGAGGCTTATCAAATCTGCTTAGTGTGCTCCACTGCTGACAGCCTAATAGGTGTGTGACGGCCACAGCTGCAACATCTGCTCTTGGTGTTTAACACTGGTAAAGAAAGTCTCTGCTTTTTCTTTCATAATTAGCTCAGTGCACTTCAGACAAGCTAGGCCTGAACCTGGTACTTGCAGACTAATGGAGGTGTCACATCTAAGTGCTTTGTTTCATACCAGACAAACTTGGGGGTAAGTTAGGGGCTTTGGCTGTAGTCCTTAAAGTTTATATAGGAGAGGTGCTTTTAAGTTGGTGCAACTTTCAGAACTCTTCCCTAACTTCCTATTCCATATCCCCACAAATTTCCAGTTACCAAAATCAGTGCTGTAGAGGGTTATCTTTCTTAGGATAGCTGTGCCAGTTTTTCCAACATGTTCATGTATGAGTAGTTCTTGGTACCATACAGAAAGCAGGAAAAGCACATTTTTATGTCTGTATGCCACAGTGGGCCATGAATCCACATCACACACAGATTTTATTCTGAGGAAGGGACAAAAATAGTGAAGTAGGATAAGTTTCAGGGATCCTGTAAGACAGCAAATCTAGCTGTTTTATACTGTTCTGGTAATGCAAAGCTGCTATTGAGTTCTACATGTTTCTTGTAGCATATTCACAGTGAAGCCAAGGGCCACAAAACACAGATCTACATCTGCAGCTACACCACATCTCCAGGGTAGCTCAGAGCAGTATGAACACGTCAATCACAACTACCCTTATGTTTTTGTATTAATTGGTAGGTTACGGCTTTTGCCTTCACTATGTTGAACACAGCTGGTATTTGAAGGATTAGTCTGGTTAAAATAGTTTTACAGGGGCTTTGTATAACTTGTCAGGACAGCAAAATTAAACTGGATCATGGCAATAAAAAGAACCTTTTATTCTTGGGAAGAAGGTTTTTTCCCCAAGAATATAGTCAAACATCCATAGATTTCTTAACAACTAATCACTTTTTATAAAATCTTTCAGAAAAAAACTTCACCTTGGTTTCCAGTATGTGGAAGTTAAAAAAAAAAAATAAAAGAAAAAAGTATTGTTTACTTACTGCTTTAAGAGAAGGGTGAGAAGGGTATTAAATTTGTACATGTATTCTGGTATAAAAGCATTCACAATGTTTTTACTTTAATATTATAAAGCTATTTAACTCAAGGTTAGTATTTTAACGTATCTAAAGGAAGTGTTAAGGACAGATATGCATGTATCTGTACAGATCAAGAAAACTCCATGTTTGGTATATTTACCTTTCTCAGTAACATACATGCATAAATTGATCTCCTTGCTAATGTGCAGCAGATATTCCAAGCAAATGTGATTCCTGTGAAAGGTGCTGAATTATCCCTTGATGTGCCTGTTTTCAGAAGGAGCCCGTGCTGAGTACAGGGTAGACTTCCCCATGCTGCTTCCCTCTGACCTGTTCCATGCCTTCTAGTGAGCCCCTTAGGAAAGTGGGTGCCTGCTCCTGCGTGGTGCTGATGGTGGCACGGTGAACTGGGAGGAAATGCAGCTATTGAATGGTAACAGCACAGACACTGATCCTGGCAGAGATCTGCTGACCTAGGGGCAAAAGACTAAAACCCTTGTCACGTTGGTAGCGTGTTGATCACCTAAACCAAGAGGAAAGAGCATCAGCTTGCAGTAGGTGACATTAGCACAACTAAATGCTTAGATATTACAGGGATAACAATTCTTACAATCTTATCTATGCAATTGCACCACTACATCTTGATTCATAAAAGTTGGGGGCATTTGGACTTTTAAAAAAGAAAATATAGGTTACATTAATTCCCCTTCCTTCTGCTGGAATTTACTACTCCTCTGGGTCAGTTTTCATGCAAAGTTCTAAAAGGGGGAAAAAAAAAAAAAAAAAAAAAAGAGGGCTTAGAAATGAAGGGCCTGATCCTGTTTACACATCACCATAAATCAGGACTGAGCTCCTTTAAATCTACATCACTGCAGTTGCATATGCATGATTTGCGAAGAAAACCAGCCCACCTGAAGTGTAAAAAACCTGACACTCTCATTTTCTTTTTAAACTTGTTCCCTCTGCTTCCAAAAAATGCTTGGTTTACAAATCCTGTATAACCCTTGCATGGCAGCAGTGCTGAACAGAAGGACATTTTTAGCAGGCAGCTTATTTACCAAAATACTAAAACTGAGTAGCAAGAGATTTTGATTGGCTATATGCAGTGTATGCTGAGGTTTGAAAAAAGCTAGCTGAAATCTTATTAAGAGAAGTTAGGAAAAGGTTGAGAAATAATTTCAGGAAGAAGTGGTGTACACTATGATGGCAAAAGGAAACAAAATATAAACAGACCAAAGTTTAAATTGCATTAAAAAAGCAAAGTAGGTGTCTGGACATTCCCACCTTTGCATTTGATTTTTGACATTAGACTGGCTTTTTACTAGCTGTAAATTTTGAATGCTCTTAATTGCATCTATCCAGCTGTGCTGTCACACTACATTTGTCAGCTGGAAGGTATGTAAAATAAAGGTTACCCAGAGCTTAGAAACCTAACAGTTCTTAGCAAGGAACTCTGCAGGCCTCTGGAGAAAATCTCTGCCAAAATTCAGGTTAGTAAAGTGGGCAGTGCTTCTGAATAACCCAATACACATCATAGCACCAAAGATTCTCCTGCATTCTCTAAGCAACCAAGACAGACTTTGTGAAAGAAACAAGGTTCTTCATCCAGTATGATCCCGCAGTTCTTTCCTCTCTCCCTGTGGAAAACTTTTCATGTGTCCTGCTGCAACAGATCACAAGGGCTACAGAACAGCACACACGTGTAAATGTTACAAAAGTTAATCTTAGTGAAGAACAAATGTGATATGTAAGGACAAAGATCATTCTTAGAACTTAACCCCAAGACAATAACTGAAGAACTGAACAGCCCCTGAAAACTTATGCCTCCCCCTACCACAAGGACCCAAACAGCATTAATAATGAAGACTTTTACTTATATAGTCAGCAAAACCCCCTCAAACTTGTACTCATTAGCACTGTGCAGGAGCACCACTTCATTACCAACTCAATGATGTGCATCTACTGGAAAAAACAGAATCCTGTCTTCATGGTCGTGGTGTGCATGTATGCATGTATGCATGTGCACATGTGTGCATGTTCTTACTCCATCTACATACCGTATTTTATGAAGACAGATAAGCTCGCAGGAAGGAATGAGTCAGAAGTTTATCCTTCATCGTTCCTTCCTCATGACAGTTGCAAACTTAGCATCAAGAAATGAACTCCTTGTCCAATTAATATTTTAACCAACAAAGCTATTAACAAACCAAAGAAAAATAATTTCAGAGATTTCTGGCAAAAAAATAACCTTTTCGAGAAAAAAAAAAAAAAAAAAAGTATCATTTTGGTACCTAGTTTGTCCAAGCTTACTGTATTCACTGAAGTTCAAATTTTTTCAATCAGCTCTATTCAAATGCTAAAACAATCTGTCTCCTACAGGTAAAAGGAGGTTCATTCAGATTAAATTTGTAACTTCCTTTTATTAGCAATCCTCATGTTCCCAGTAGAGAAACAGCATTTCCTCCAACAGTAAGCACAAGACAGTTTTCTCTGGAAGTTAAAAAAAATCACAGAAGAGGAAATAACTTGCTGTGGGCTAAGTAGAACAGAGATGCTTTTCTGAAACAAACAAAACCAAAAAAATCCACACACAGTTAAAGCAGCACTCAGGCATATAGGCAGGCTTAAATCTGGAAAAAAATAAATACCATCAGTTCCCCACTTTGATTCCCAGTGCAACAACTGCTGCTCATGAGGGATAAATGTGAGCTTTCATGCCTCTGCAGTCTGGGCTGAAAGAGGTGGCTAGAGAAAACAACAGATAACATGGCACAAAGGCTTTGGGGCATGTCTTGTTCTCTCACCTGTAAGATGATGGAGGGAAGGAGAGTCATTCAAATTTGAAAGGAAAGACTACAAGAAAAAACCAAGATAGTAGTGTACAAAGATGCAGGGAAAACTAGTCATCCCTGAGGGAAAACAAGAACAGTTTTTATTACTGTTAGACAGTCAGAAGCAGAAGAAGAAACAGGACAGATTAAGTTCTTAGTTACACCTATAACTGAAGTATTCACTGTGGTTACATAGCCTTTCTAGCTCTTCCTAGAAGCAGATATTGAGTGCTCTTCCATACTTAAAAAAGGAAAAATAATTGACAAAACACAAACCACTGGTTGGCTGTATCAGAGCTTGTTTCCCTGTACTTTCTTAACCCAAACCTACAGCCCTGTCCCAGCTTTTTACAGTAATGAACTACTTGCAAATGAGTCTGTAAAGCAGGCATAACATTTCTCACCAAAATTACTGTGACCAGATAAAAACTTCGTCCATACTAGTAAAATTTGCAATGCAACAAAGGAAGCCTTGTTAACTCTGTGTGCAGGAGCATGGCAGCCAGGCTGCCCTGTGGGATCACCACCTATAGCCTTGCAGTCCATGAGCTGGGCAGGAAAGAGGGCAGGTGGACAGGACAAATAGTAGGAGGGGAGGCACAACACCATTCAAAGCGTGGAGTGTTTGAGCTATGGGATGAGATGTGCTAACTCCATAAAGTGCAGAGATAAACTTTTTTTGTAATAGCTGCCAAATACGGAAAATGTTTCTGGTTTCTTTAAAGCCTAATCTCAACCTAAGCATTTATCTGTGACCCTGTCTATAGATTGACTCAACAACAAAAAAAAGACACATACAAACTATATGTGTGTTTAAGGTTCAGAAAACATTTTTCTTGCCAAAGAGGGCCATTTGTATACATACGAAACTAGGGTGCTCAGCATGCAGGTGACCCACACAGTGGTGCCTACCTTTAGTTAAGGAGTGAATTCCAAGTTTCACTTGTGAGAAATTCCCACTTCCTATTTCTCCTCTGACTCGATAGAAGCCAATTCTCTTTCCCAGGGTTAACTCTTTCACCACTTTTTCATTCTGGGACATATCCTGCATCAGTTTCTCAAATGGGGTCAGCCTGTGCTGCCTGCCCCCTTCATCTCCTCCACAGCACTCTGGGTGCCCATCGTCTTCTCCGCTGTCCTCACGATGCCACTTGGAATAATGGTGTTTTCCAAGACTTCCTCCATTCGCATATCCTGTTGTCATAGTCTACACAGTAATCACTTCCCCATTTAACAAGATGTCCCGATCAGGAGTTTAAATGAAATCATTCTGTATGAATATGCAATGCTGCACATAATGGACACTGTGACAAACTTAGCAAAAACAGCTTACTGAAAGTCCAAGGATTAGTTTGGAAATTACTTCAAAAACAAATCTGGCATATCTATATATTGCAGTTCTGTTCAAAACCAGAGATAAAAATGGAAGCTGCTTCTATCCATCTCTCACAAACAGATTTAGTATGTCAGGATCTTCATCTACAAGGTAAAAGACGCTTTGCAATTAAAACTGTAAACTTTGTGCAAGAAACAGGCAAGCTGCTCACAGTCTATGCAGTACATTTGACACATGCAAAACATTTGACATGACTTTTCAGGCTTTAGCTTGCTGCTTTGAAAACTGACTTGATAGAAACATAACAGACAAATAGCTGATAAACCACTCTGAACAAATACAGATGCTTCCACTTAATTCTGAATAGCTAACCTTAAGAGCATAGTTCTCCTCGATTCTGGTTCCAGTCCAAGAGCTGAACATAGGGTTAGCCTTTGATTCGTTCTTCAGCCTGTGGACCTGTCACTGTGCCTTGAAATTATCACTGTGCCTTGAAACCTTGCTGTAAAAAGTTTGTTGCTGCTCTGTTTCCTCCTCATGGCAGGTTCAGCAAAGCAACTGATCCTGGAAGATGACAGGAAAAGAATAATCTGTGCACCAGGCAAAAGAAGTGCTGCGCCTCAGTATCCCTGCAGTCACATGGCAGGACAATACAGGATTAAGTAACTGCAATGTCACGTTAACCCTCCTTTATTTAGATGGGCTTTCTTTAACGCCTTGAGCCTTCTCAAAATTTTGCCAGACACATGGTGTTCCTAAGCAGACAGATGAAGAAAATCATTAAAACCTTTATGTAACACCCATACGCTTCTCTAAATGACAGCACACCACATACCATTTCATTGATTTAACTCTTTGTTTGGCAGCACAGACAAAGAAGTCCTTATTCTAAATACAAGCAGTCACTTACCTTTAAAGCAGTACACCATTTTTTTCTTCTTTACCTTTCTTCTTTAACCTTGAAAAATAGGAGCTGATCAGCAGCTGCTAATCACGCAGCTGCATCCCTGAGGGTGCTGAGCTGGGCAGAGAAGCTCTGAGGCAGCACAGGCAGTGGCAATGCTCACCTCTCTGCTCTCAGCCTGTAGCACCACAAGACTGACGAGCATGGGAGACACCTTACTGCCATTGTGTGCAGATTCACCAGACTGAGGGGGAGAGAATTAGAGCAGTAACTCAATGCCTGGAGCTTAGGGAAGGTAGACAGTCACCTAAGGTGCCGCACTAGAAGAGGGCATGTGACACTGCCAAGTGAAGCTGCCCTCTAAACCTCCATCTCCTCCATGAGCCAGAGGAGGAGAGGCCAAAGGCACCGTCTAGGGCCAAAGAAAAGGTGGCTGGCAACGATTTCATTAAATGGGAATTTGGGTAGCACAGAAGTGCTCGACTGCTTCTAAAGAGAGGCTGAAGCGACGGGCCCAGCTTCCAGGAGCTGCTCTTTGCCCTGAGATGAGTGTGGGTGATTTTGCACGCCGCTTCACCTTGCCGTGATGTGGACAAGTACAGGAGAGTCCGTCACTTCTCCCTGTCACTTCTCCAAGCCAAGGGCGCTTCTTACTGTCTGTGCTGCAAACTTAACAGCTGACAGTTTATAACTGGAACAGAGGGAGAATATACTTGTTCCATGACACCTTTGAACTCTTGTTACTCATTCTGTCCTAATTCTGTTTGAAGAAAAGGGTTGTTTTCATGGTTCACAGCAGAAGTGTAAAATAAATAATCATATGTTATTCTCTGGATCTAAATAGAGTCAAACCCCCAACAAATACTGTATGTGTGCAGCAACTGTTGTCCAAATCTTGAAATTGTTAGTAGAGGAGAGACTGAGTGGTAACTGAACAAAGTCTTCAGTATTTGCCCATCAAATCAGGCTCAATTATCATCAAATGTTCCCTCTAACTTTATTATTTGATACCAAGGAAGAAAAATCTGTATGGAAGGACACCCCCTCCCCAAGCAAACAAAAAACCCATCTAAACCTAAACCTTACATCCTTAAATTCCCTATTTGTTCTCCTTCTCTATTTGGGGAAAGGACAATTTCTTGCAGGATCACATGAGTTCTGGCCCACCGTTGTTTTGTTTTATTCTGTCACCTGTAAGAAAAATATTGACCCTTTTTTTAATCATAGCTTTGAGAGTTCAATTATTGCAAGAAGATACCAATGAACGAGTATATTCCTGTGTTTAGAAGACCTATCTTTTATAAAAGACAAGAGCCCAAGAGAACAGTCCACAAGAACTGTACCACCGACCAAACATGACACAGAAGATCTCCTGTGCAGCCACACATCATGTTCACTGACACCAGGGAAGTAATAGCTCTACTTTTGTACTTTTTCTCAAGCAATATCAGTTCAATTCATGGCTGTTGTGGCCAAAGGAAATCAATGTTTGTTCAAGGTTTGCCTGGACACATTTTTTGGATTTGAGTAAGAAGCTCTCTCAGTCTTACTTCTGTGAATTCCAGAAAACAGAGGGACTACATAAAATACATAGCCCAGAACTTTGTATGAGTTATTGAAAAAAAGATTCAAAACACGCAATACAGCACATTTACAGGCTGAACGCAGACCTGTATGTTCCCAGCTCAGGCCGGAGGAAATACAAACAGTGCATTGACTGTGCAGAGCCTTGGGAAACAACTTGCTCTCTCTGCCCAGGCCCATGTGCCACCTATTTCAGTACATCCCAGAACTACTACTGTTAGTTAGCATAGCATTCAGTTTGCCTATTACTGTTTGATAAAAACCAGACATAATCAACATAATTCTTAAACTTGTAAGTATCCTTGCCTAAGACACGACAATGTTTTCCCATACATGGAATGTTAACATATGCAGCAGCCCTGGCCAAGGCAGTATCAAACAGCACTGTACACACTTTTATAACCATGCAAGTACAACCACACGAGTGTTGTACCAGATAGAAAGAAGAGTTGTTTAGGAGAGTGAGAAGGGGGCCAGGCCCTATACAACAGACTACACATAAGCTGTATTTACTTTTACAGTTAAATGAAGCCTATTTGTTTAATACAAGATATATGCCACAATATTGAGAATGACTGTAACATGCATAGTAATGAGTTACAGCACTCACTCCTACCTTCATCTCATTTATCACATTTTAGCTTGTGACAAGGCATGCTGGTATCAATATATAAGTGACTTCATATGGGTTGCACTGTAACAGCGGATCTTCTGGCAGTCTGGAATAGCACCCAAAGGACAGTCACCTTCACCTCTTCCACAAACCTCTCAGTGCTGCTGAACAACAACGTGCAGAGACAGGGTAACTCCAGCCACTTGTGTCAAGCTGTGCCAGCACATCAACTAGAGTCAAGTCAAAGCACTCTGTTGTCCTCTGTGCACATCTCAGACAGACCACAGATGCAAGACAACCTTCAAGATGACAAAGTGAAAGAGAAGACTAATAAAAAAAATATTAAAGATCAAGATTCTATTATTTTTCCTGCTGCACTTTACTTGGTGAAACAGAATACCACCACCTTCAGTGGCTTTCATGCAAAACCTCACTTGATGGCCAAGGCATCAAGAGGGAAAGCAGAAGGAGGTAAGAAATGGTTATTTTGTACTGGCTCCTTCACCACAACAAAAGGCCTATTCTACATGCTGACGCCAAACCAAGAAAATAAGAAACCCTGGTATAAAAAGGAAAAAAAAGCCAACCACAACCACCCCACCCTGGAGCACTCTAACTCCAGCCCACAGCTTATTCTACAGTTGTAACTAAGAGGAGAAGACAACAGACTTTTCAACCTGTTTAGAAGTTTAATGAGCCTGAGCCCTGCATACTGAAGGAGAATACAGGTAGATGCTTGATGAAGTGTGTCCCCCACCTCCAACCTCAGCAGAAAGACCAAAATTCTCATCTTTTGGGTTGATGCCACATTCATTCTGGGATGGACCCCTGAAGACAAACACAGATATTTCCCTGATGGAACCTGAGATCTCACTGATGGATCCCTCTCGACCAGCCCGCTCCCACAGCCGCTGACCAGAAAAAGGCAGGAGCATGGAGGGCACCACTCAGCACAGGTCACCGTGGTGGGAGATTATAGATCCAAGCAAGATCCCACGTTCATTTAGTCCAACTTCCTTCTCGCCAAGAACAGAGATAAGAAAAAGAGGGAAACCCCTCAGGTGTGTGCTAATCTTTGATCTACCCCTAAAGGATCTCACCACGCTCTCTAACAGGCAGTCACTGGCTGTGCCTAGGGAGAACTACACCCTGGCTCGCAGACAGCCACCTAGCCCGGGGGCCATCAGGCTGGGCCGGCATGTGCACACCCCTCTGTGGGCAACAGCCGCACCAGCGTGGGCACGGCAGCCGCAGCTGAGTCCTGCAGGGCTACGGAGAGGCAGCTCAGGCGGTGCTGGTACCGCCGTGCAGCACAGACTTGCCTTTCCACCTCCCCAGGTGTTACCTGCTGGCGGACTGGGATAAGCTCCTGGAGGAGAGCATCAAGGAAAACAGGCTGCACAGAGCCCGCAGCACTGAGGTGCAGCCCCCCAGCCCCAGCTGAGCTGACACCAGCACAGGCTGGGTAGAGCCCAGCTGGAGCACTCTAACATCAAATCCAGACCACAGATTGTATGGGGTGTATTGAAAAGGAAATAAATGCACATCAATCAGCGTAACGCAAACGATACTAAAATAATACATCAAGACCTGTGAAGCAGAAATTAAAATATGGGGGAAAAAAAATCCCTTTCATCCTTTTGCAGCATTGCATGATACAAACAGCTAGAGAGATAATTAATTAGCCTTTGAATTACACAGAAACTTCCATTAAAAGCAAAGACAAAAAAAGAATTTATTAGTAGAACACATTGACTTCCTAGGTCTTTGAAATACATGGGAGGGATTCATTTGAAGTCTGACTGTATTTTGAAATAAAACTTTAATCTGGCCAGTCTTTTTTATTTCTGTCCCTGAGGTATAATGAAATTGCTCAATTTGCCACAGAATTGTTATTCCAAGGTAAAAGCAACTTCCATTAAACATGTATTCTGAGGCAACAGAGATGCAACAAAATCTTTATTAGCCTTTGAAAGAAGAGGACAAAATTTACATCTAATTCAGTTACTTCACTAAACATTAATTTGACTCATAGGCTTTGAGTGAAAACAGAACAAATTCTCTCAGAAAATAAGGCAATAGTACAAGAAGTTACAAGTAGGCAATACTTTGAGTCCCACTGAAATCACTGAGGAAATCAGTCTTTACTTATTTCAAGAAAATGGTTGTATATTTGGGCAGATAAGCATTGTTAAGCGGATGGCCTGCAATAAATTCACCCTGCCATTATTTGCAGGAAAGAGAAACCTAAAATGTGTTTCCATACAAAAGAGAACAGGAAATGTTATGTTTTCTATTGCCTATCAGAGTTTTCTTTCACTATTCCCAACTTATTTCTTAGGTGGGTCCTAGCAAACAAAATAACTCTGGATACCTCTTACAAGACAATCAAGTTTAGTTTCATCAATATAGATGTACTCCTCAAAAGTACTGATTAGTAAAATATTAAGTATTCATAAGGTACATTTTAAATGGATTTGGGCAAAGGATAAATAGTTGCTATTATTTTCCAGGGATGTATTTGGAAAGATATAAATCCTGCGCTGCACTTTGAAATGTACCTTTTACTGCCTGGCATTTCCATTTTTTCAGAGTAATGTCTGGGACACTCAAGATTTATCCTGAATTGGCATTAACAAGCCACTGCATTACAGTAATTTTATTAGTGAGCCTGACTAAAAGAAGGAGTAGATGTAGACACACAATATTCACATAAAAGTGTCAGGAGCCATGGAGAAACAGAAATGCCATAAAGACTGTCTGCTTGATTTTACAAATGCTGAAGAACTATCCCCCTGAAAGTATCATTGCAACTGCTTTGTCCTTGACAATTTAAATGTCCCAAAGTGACTGCAGTACTGAGAACTTTTAGAATATTTAGATTAAAAAGTCCAGAAAAACATCTATTTGTACTTTCTACCCAATAGACAATTATATTGGAAATCTCTAGAACCCATCAGAAAATAACAGTTAAATGGAAAACAGTCCCAGCTGTATTTCTCTAGTGATATATGAGCATGCCACCTTCTCAGACCAGCATGGTCCTCTCACCATGTAGACCACCTGCTCCTCACTCTGGATCCTGCCTCTAAACTTGCATTCAGATACCATG